TTTTCGTTGTCGCCGTTTTCAAGATGTTTATTAGTGTTTGAAATTTCAAACATTTATAAATGTTTGGTATTTGGTGGTGTTTGAAATTTCAAACACTAATAAACATCTTGAAAACGGCGACAACGAAAGTGTTTGAATTTCAAACACTTATTATTTAGAGTGCGGCGCTGCTTCTGAAATTCGAAAGTTCATCGCCGTATTCACTTGCTACCCGGGCGCAGCAGTTGTCCAAGTAGTTTGCTGTCGGGAGCACAAAGCGACTCTTTACATGGAATTAGGATTGCTCGTACAGTTCAGATAACGTAGCTACGCAAGAGCGGTTGTAAAGACAACTAAATGAATTTTAATTAAATCATTTCGAGCTTTCAAAGCGTCGTTTCACATTGTACGATTTTATATAATTGTATTGATATTCTTAAACAAGGTATAAGTCTACGCGAGTAAAATGATATATGTGCACTGATAGAAAAAATAATTAACTAATTCATTAGCTGGATTTTTTAACAGAATAATAGTTAAAAGCTTATATTTTATAGTAAATTTTTTAAATAGTTGGCATCAGGGTGTCTATACGGTTGCTATTACTAATATTATAGTAATAATTACTATAAAAATTATATTCCCGACTATAGTTGTTTTACTATGCAATTACAGTTTCAAACGCTACATTTTTTTCTATCAGAGTGCCCAGGCGCGCCACGTCCGTCTTCCACAATTTATCATTTGTTTGTTTAAACTCGGAAAAATCGTAGCGCGAGACGTGTCAAAATACCGATAAACCTACGTCGATTTATCCGCTCGGATAAAATCTTGGAAAAACAACACGGTATGTGGCCTGCGAATGATGCATGATTATTCCGACTGTTAGAATGAATTAGGACGCGAGTGTGCGATACCGACGATTCTAAATTAAAGTTTACCGCGCGCCGCTTGTTTAGCAACGAATCGATCGGAAATTTTGCTCTGCTTTTCCAGCCGCGAACGCATATTTTTGTACTTCGCATCGGGTTTGTTTTTATTTATACTTTAGTGCCGGGATTAACAGAGAGCTTTTTCTCTAACTGCTGTAGAATAGTCATATAAAAGTCTGGCTGTGGGGGG